CTTTCAACCTGTGGGCTCCAAGCAACTACACACAGCAAAGGAAAGCCACGAGTGTGGCCCCCACACAATCATAAACTTACTTCAAACATTATGATATTTTTGTTACTTTTCAGTAACTTAATTACACAGTTCTCGAGCATGAGTTCCGTAGAAGACAATGTCCCGGGGTGATGTTAAGAGGTTGGACATGGCCACTTAGACCAAAGGGACCATAAGTGTTTACCTCTTTCCCTCCAATCCCATCCACATATCTTTCTCTTACCTGTATCTGCTCTGGATCGATAAACAGTCTTCCTACCAGTCTCCGAAGGAAAGTCTGAACTTCTGACCAGGGATAGATACTATTGGAGCCATCCAAAACAATGACGACATCCATGTATGTAGGACAGCCTAGAAGGGGGCACATAGTGACGAGAAACAAAGACATGGAAGGATTCAGGGTGGAGTCAACAAGGGAAAATGTTGCAGGAGAACGCTACAATATAAGCATTTACTAGAGATTTCTCTCTTACTTACAAGGAAAGCACTATGCCAGGTCCTCAGGGTAGAAATGAATGAAAGAAGAGACGGTCAAATGTAAAGAATGAAATATGCACTAGCAAGAGACCTACCACTACCCTGTGCTACAGAAGACCGAGAGAGCTTCACTTTTGTCTGTGTTTGTGGGGGAGGGGCAATATTTGAACCAAGGCCTCTACTCATGCCCTCCCTACCAATGTGCCGTGGAGGGGGGTGTCCAGCAAAGGCCAAGCATGACAGTACATGTCTATTAGCCCAGTACTTGAGAAGCTGAGGCAAGCAAATTCCAAGTTCAAGGGCAGCCTGGGCTACATCAGACTATCTCCCAAAAGGCAGCAGATAAGAAAGTATATGAAAGGCATGAGGTGAGAACCCAACAACAGAGAGCTTGCTCAGCATTCATAAGACCCACAAAAATAAGATATCAAAGACTCTGAGAAAATGCACTGGGGTAGACAACATCGCAAACAAAGGGAAATCGAGGTCCAAAAATAAATGGCACACAGAACAGCAATAATGGAAAGGTGATGGATGAGGGACAGGCAGTACACAGGATACACCAGTTTTTAAGGTGGTAAAACCAGATCCTGGTGTCTTGAGGCTCTCCTAAGGAGTCTGAGGTCTAGTCTGTTAGTAAACAGGAGTCTCTTCTCCATGCACACATGGGAATGGTGAGGATAGCCGTGCAGACCAAGTTTTTTGTCCTGTTTTTCCCACCCAGCATCCCCATCTGGGAACTGAGCTTGTGAGCCCTCCCACTGGCTCACGTTGGGCGGTGGGTGCCAGGCTTCCCTGGGGCCGGAATGAAGCGTCCACACGGGCACATATTCCAGAACTGAAGACAGAGCTGCCACAGGCACGAGACCAGAGAGGGGCACAGGCCTGAGTGGACAGGGGAAATAGTTATTCCCAGGCTTGAGAGGAGCCTCTCAGGACAAACCCCTAGTTAAAAAAGAGATGGAGACCACTCCATAGGGTACCCTGTCTTGCTCTCTAGAGTTTCGAATTCCTTGTCTTTTCTATACAGACGATTTTCCCTTACCACAATGCTCTTTTTGTTGTTGTTTGGTTAGTTTTGGTTTTGGTTTTTTCGAATCAGGGTTTGGCTGCATAGCCTTGCCTGTCCTGGAACTCACTCTGTAGATCAGGCCTGCCTCTGGCTACAGAGCTGTGGCATTAAAGGAACATGCCACCACTGCCCAGATACCAGAATGTTCTCTTCTCTGCTGTGAACTTTCTGAAGAGGCCCTTCTTTTAGCTCACCATGAATCCCCCATCAGCATCTGTCTCTAGTAGAGACATCCCCAGGTGCATGTTGACAGCAGGCTGAGAGGAATTTCCCAGTTGATAGTCACCTGGTAGGAGGAAGGGTAGAAGAGAAAGAAGTCATGGGGTCATAGTTCGTGCTTTAGTTTAGGGCCATTTGGGAAGAAAATGAAAAGGAATCCATTGAAGACAAGGTCTAAGTTATGGGGGCAAAGAAGCCGATGTCCAAGGAATCAGAGTTACTAGATGTCAAAATCAGGGATTAGTAGGGAAAAGTCAGGCTTCTTCTTACCCAGGTGGCCTTTGGTACATGGAGCACTGTGGAATCCCCCTATAGAGCAACGATAAACATCCCCCCTCCGGTCACCTGAAGGCCCATCCCAGGGGGCGCCCACCAGCATCCTGGAAGGAGAATATGGATATACAGATCTGGTGAGCATGGTCCTTAGTATAGGGGAGAGGGAGAGTGCATGGGATGGCATGGAGCCCGAGGCACTTTCAAAGGCCAGCTTGGACCGGTCTACCTTGCCTCCCCTTTATCAGTGAGTGCACAGTCTCAATCCCATGCCCCTGTTTTCCCTCTCACCATCGCTGTCCACCCCCAACATGCTGTAAGACACTGTATCCAAATTCGGCCTCTGGTGGCCCTGTGAAGAGGCGTGGGTGACGCTCATCCAGATTAAAGGGGGAGCAGAGACCTGAGGGGTGAGGATTATAGTTAGCATCCACCAATCAGTTAATGAAGGACTGGAGAGGGATAAGAGACAAGACAGGAGGGAGTGTCCATCTCAGTGTGTCTGCCTGATTACTTATAAGCTCTCCTGGTCTGTGTCAATGTCATGTAGTCAGAGCCCCAGGTGGGATGATTGGATGATTCTCTTCCTGCCGGGGGAATGGAGGGATGGGGGGGGGTGTCCTAAGGCCCTCTGCCACAATGAAGCACAGCTGTATTTCCATTCTCGTTCCTGAAATCTCATTCACAGACACATCTGGAAAGGTCAAATTACTCTTTCCACATCCCTCCTCCTACACATTCTCCTCTCTAAGCCGTAAGAGTCAAAAGTGGGAGAGGGCTTTTCTGAAGATGCAGAATCACCACCCTTTCCAAATTCTTCCCAACCAAGGGCCATGGGGAGAAGGAGAGGGCAAGGAGCTCCCCGCCTGGGTGTCTCCTCTTGTTTCTTCTCAACACTCTCACACTTGCATTTTCTCCAAGGTCGAGGGCGCTGGCTCCTTCCAGCCCTGCCAACCTCAGTGCTAATTAAGTGGGTGGAACCACTGGCCTACCCACACACGGTTTGCCATCTATCCCTGTCAAGGGTCTTACCGCCCTCAAGATTCCCCCCACAATCTGTTCCACATCTCATCCACCTTACAAACCACCCTTGCCTTCTCTCATAGTTCCTCAAACTTCAGCCCACTCTAGGGGTCCCCAGCTGTGTCCTGCTGATTTCTTTCTCCTGACCCCAATTCCCATAAAATCAGAGCTGTTATTTTAGGAAACAAAGATTATAGGGCACTAGTAGGGAAAAATTCCAAGCCTCTTGTCCCTCCCATGATTCTCTTCCCTACTGTCTTGCTCTTTGCATCCAAGCAACCCTCCATCCCCCAATATCTAACTCCAACTCACACTGCGCTCACTTTCAGAAAGGTATTTTATATGTGAGCCTTTTTTCATCCAGGAAATTGGCAGGGCTAAGAGACCAGGAACTGTAGCTCAGTCATTAGGCGAACCCAGAGTTCTGACCACATAGTAAGGCAATTATGCCTCAGGCACCAAGGAGTACCAATGGCAGGAAGAAGCGGGCATTGGACCAGCCGAATGGAAGATGAGGGCCATGTTTCTTTTCTGTATCCTCATGTCTATGGAGTTTAGGACAAAGGTTTTAGATAATTAGGTACAAAGGTTTAGATAATTAGGTACAAGCCAGAGGAAGTTTTAGCCCCTGCCATTTGGGTGTCTAAGAATGTGAGTGCACACATGAAATATAGCATCAGTATTAACCTCTGACCCCAGCTCCCAAAGAATTTTAGCCATAATGGTTCCAATTCTAAACAATCCACATATCTCCCATTCCCACCAGAAACCAAGTTCACTTCCCTCACCTGTCAGCAACGCCAGGGGCAAGAACAGGTGAGGGATGGAGAGGGGCTCCATGGCTGCTTGTCCGGTCCTGTCAGAGAAGCTCTGAGTCGCTCTGTCCCTTTCCTTTGAGTCCCTCTGTCCCTCTCCTTGGCTGTTTTCGTTACTTTCCCTCCTATCCTGCCCCCTCCCACTGGCAGCTAAAAATAAAGTTGGACGGAATGGGAGTGGTGGTGAAGGGAGCTGTGGGGAGCCCCAGACAGGAGCACAGAGCAGCCTTAGTCCAGTTCTCTACCTTGGTGCTGCCCCCTGGAGGCCTCAGCTAGTATTCAAAGAGAACACAAATGTTGACCCTTTCTGAGGCTACTTTTACACGTGGTTTATTTGTTCCAATGATTTCCTCCAGTTTAGAACAGAAAGTAGGATTTAGAGACAATATTTTTTTTGCCTTATTAATCTTAACATGGGATATGCAAAATAGTAGCTGACAGCAGCATTTTCCTGCCTACTGTGTGAAGGGCAGCCCTACTGTGCGACCTTGCCAGTCCACTGAGTTCTGGTCATGTCTTTGCCTGTAAACAGGTGTGCTTTGTGGTGTCAAGACAATTACTTCGGTTTAGAACCTCTCACTCCTAACTTGAGGCTGTGAACATCTTAGTGGATAGTTTATGGTGTGTCTACACCTTCCCCCAACACTTAAGTTTTCAGTGAAAACCTGTGGGTAACCATGTTAGCTGCTAATGCCGAGGAAAGCCATCCACAGTCACAGTCACAGGAGCCGAGTCTTTTTTGTTGTTGTTGTTTTTTGTTTTGTTTTGTTTTTTGTTTTTTTTTCAAGACAGGGTTTCTCTGTGTAGCTCTGGCTGTCCTGGAACTCACTCTGTAGACCAGGCTGGCCTCGAACTCAGAAATCCGCCTGCCTCTGCTTCCCAAGTGCTGGGATTAAAGGCGTGTGCCACCACTGCCCGGCTAGGACCAGAGCCTGAGAGACCAGATGAGCAGCTGGAGAGAGTGACACTCACCCGCTTGCCTGGCCACTCATAAGCCTAAGGCAGGAGAGCTCCGAGTTTCAGGCCACTCTAGGTAACACGGTGACCACCCTCCCTCCATCTTGAATTGAATGAAAAAGTCAGTGAGTAAACTGATCTTTAATTTTTTGGCCTGGAAGGCTTGCTTGCTCTGTGGGCAAGGACCAGTTATTTACATAGAATCATTGTACAGTATTTACAGCAAGAGGCCAGACACAGCATCAGTCTGGAGAGTTAAAGAAAGGGCCAGAGCCAAGTGGGGAAGGAAACTCTAATATCAAAGTGTACTTAGAAACTGAAAAGTGTGGAGGCCAGAGGAGCGTCTGGGCTAAATCAGGAGGCAGTCTGTTGAGGCAGACTCAGGGAAGAAGCCTCAACAGCCTGCAGAGGTGTGAGGGAAGAGTGTGCTGGGCACGAAACAAAGCCTGGAAAAGGGTGGAGGGTGGGAGAGAGAAAAATATGCTACATAAAAGAATACAATTAGCACTTTACCATCCATAACTTATGCTCCCCCTACCAAAAAGTAATCCCTCCCCCTTTTAAGTATCTGGATAGGAGACTAAGAAAGAGAATTCTGTCTCATGGTAACAAATTCTTAACTAGACTCAAGACAGATAAAGGGAGGAGAGCTAAGAGATTCTGGCACTGGAACTGAAGACCAACCGCAAGGCATGCTGGAGTCTTCCCACTAGCATCGCCTTCCTGACCTGTCTTTGGCAGGTTCTTCCCCTCATCCCTAAGTATCTGGATTTTAACTTCAGTCAAGGAATTGAATTACAGTGAGGCTGGCACATGGGGGACACTTTAAGCTTCCCTCTCACCCATCTTGGTTCCCTCCTTATCTCGTGCCACAGTGTCTGTCAGGGCTTGAGTCGTAGCCAGGGACAGATTAGGGTGAGAATAGACAGAACGGAGGATATGAGGCCACACAGCCCCACAATCCCAGGGCCACAACGCCAAAGGCCTAGTTTGTCTAGTGGGATGAAGAGGTCACAGGCATTTCTGAGCACGTCCAGCAGAAGAGGGGGGTGACCTCGAAGGACACGAGCCAGTAGAAGGATTCGGAGCTGAAACTTCAAAGCCAGTTGTGGCAGACATCCTCCTGGAGTCCCTGGTCCTCCAGGTCCCCCAGTCTCTACTCCTCCTGAGACTCCTACTCCAGAAACCTTCATTCGCCTGTTGTAAGCTGAAGTCTCTTGTTCCATCAATAAGCGAATCTCATAAGCATCACGGCTCAGGTTCATGATGAGGGAAAACAGATAGTACCTGAGATACATTGGGAAGAGATATGAGTTAGAAAAGTCACAAATGTCTATTGAACAACATTTCTCACCTGGGAAGGGATTCCACATTTGAACATCAAAAGTGACTGTTACAATCCACTACTACAGATGTCCTCATTGGGACTGGAGAGATGGCTTAGTGGGTAGAGCCAGTTGCCATCAAGACGGAAGTTCTACAGTTGATCCCTAGAACCCATGTGGAGGCTCAGACTGACTTCCCCAAGTTGTCCTCTGACTTCCACAGACATACTAATGTACTTACATGTACCCACACACCCAATATAAATAAACTAATATATTACATATAAGATAGATAGATAGATAGATAGATAGATAGATAGATCACTTTTTTTTCTTTTTTTGAGACAGGGTTTCTCTGTGTAGCTCTGGCTGTCCTGGAACTCACTCTGTAGACCAGGCTGGCCTCGAACTCAGAAATCCACCTGCCTCTGCCTCCCAAGTGCTGGGATTAAAGGAGTGCGCCACCACCGCCCGGCTCACTCTTCTTATCTAATAATACCAACCCTAGATACCTCAGCTTCATCATCAGCCCCTTAGGGTTACCTTGTATCATTCTTAGGGTTACCTTGTATCATTCTTTAATCATCACTAAAACCGTGTGTGTGTGTGTGTGTGTGTGTGTGTGTGTGTGCACATGTGACTCCACCTGTGCATGTGTGCATGTGTGTGTGAGTGTGTATTCCTGTGTGTAGTTGAAAGTGTGGGCAGGTGCACATGCATGTGTCTGAGAGACCAAAGGACAAGCTCAAGCCCTGTTCTTGGTACTGCCTACCTTGTTTCTGGAGACAGGGTTTCCCATTGGTTTGTTTGCTGTTTGTTGTGATTATTTGTTTTAGTTTTTTTTATTTAACATTTCTTTATTTTATGTGTATAGTTGTTTTGCCTGCATGTATGTCTGTGCACCATGCACATGCAGTGCCTGCAGAAGCCTCAAGAGGGCATCAGATTCCTTTAGAACTGAGAGTTACAGATGGTTCTGCGCTGCCTTGTGGGTGTGCTGGGCTCCTAGTGTTCAAGTTCTGCCAAGTGCAGAAAAGGGGGTCTCCTGCAGCTGCCTTTGGATCAAGATGTAAAACGCTCAGCTTTTCCAGTACTGTGTCTGACTGCAGGTTGCTATGCTTCTTGCCATGATGATAATGGACCAAACCCCTGAAACTGTAAGCCAGCCGCCATTAAATGTTTGCCTTTATGAGAATTGCCTAGGTCATGGTGTCTCTTCACAGCAATAAAACCCTAACTAAGACATCAGGTTTGCTTGTTTTTACTCACTGAGTCATCTTAAACTTTATGTTTCAAAGATCAGGGACCACATTTGTTTGGCTTTTGTTTAATCTCCGGTCCTATAGTGTTTTTAGAAAATCCAAGCACAGTGGGAGTGGCACATGCTCATGGAGTCCCAGCTACTAGAGTGGACAAGACAGGAGGATTGTTCGAACCAGGAATTCTGTAGCAGACTGAGCAACACACCAAGACCCTCTTCTCTTTCATGTGTGGAGGAACGCACATGTATGGGTATGTCTGCATGTGTGTACACATGCATGTGAAGCCCAGAGTTCAACCTGGGGGTCTCTCCTCTGGTGCTATCCACCTTGCTTTTGAGACAGGCTTTCTCACTTGGCCTGGAACTTGCTCAATTTTCTAGGCTGGCTGGCCAGAGAGCCTTAGGAACCCTCCAGTTTAACTCAATATTGCTGGGATTACAGGAATGTGTCAGTATGCCTTGTTTTTGTTTTATAACATGGGTTATGGAAAATCAAACTCAGGTCTTCGTGCTTTTGAAGAACTGTGTTATCTCAGTCCTATGAGACCCCATATCTCAAAAGAAAAAGAAGCTAGACATGGTATCGCATACTTGTGATGCTGTCCTAGAACTGGGGGAGGGGGGTCTAAAGCAAGAGAATCATAAGTTTCAGGCAAGACTGGGCTATGTAGTGAGACCTATCTAAAAATAAAACAAAACAACAAACAACAAAACTACCACACAAGATGACTCAGCAGGGTAAGGGCATCTGTCACCAATGTGATGACCTGAGTTCAATCTTGAGACCTATGTGGTGGAAGGAGAGAACCAACCCTTGCAAACTGTCCTCCATACAGAGTGGTAATGCCACATCCCTCAACTCTGCATGCACGCACGCGTGCACACACACACACACACACAAATAATAATAATAAATAAAAAATTAAAGGGATGTGGAATAAGGGAAGGCAACAAGGGTGGACTGTTTATGATTCAGATATAATTGAAGGAATAATAGCTATCATCTACAATCCAGTCATTTATGTAGCAAACATAACATCTATCTGATACTGTTACTTTTTTATAGTCCAAGATGCAAATGAAGACTGGAAAACAAGTGGTCAATTAAGATAGATATAATTGTCACAGCACAGTGACACAGCACAGTGGCACGCTCCTTTAATCCCAGCACTCTGGAAGCAGAGACAGGTAGATCTCTGTGAGTTCAAGGCCAGCATGTTCTATACAGCGAGTCAATCAGGGTTACAAAGAAGACCTTGCCTCAAAAACAGATAAACATGGCTGGAGGAGAGATGGCTCAGTGGTTAAGAGCATGGGCTGCTCTTTCAGAGGTCCTGAGTTCAATTCCCAGCAACCACACGGTGGCTCACAACTGTCTGTAACGAGATCTGATGTCCTCTTCTGGTGTGTCTGAAGTAAGCTACAGTGTATTCATATACATAAAATAAAAGAGGTAAACAAATAATATGCAGTCAGTCCACCTATGGAGGATTAATTGCAGGATCTTTCCCCCTGCTCACTCATCCAAATTCTACCCAAATCCACAGCTGCTCAAGTCCCTTACGTAGAATGGTATTGCAGCCGGGCGGTGGTGGCGCACGCCTTTAATCCCAGCACTTGGGAGGCAGAAGCAGGCGGATCTCTGAGTTCGAGAGTTCGAGGCTAGCCTGGTCTACAGAGTGAGTTCCAGGACAGCCAGGACTACACACAGAGAAACCCTGTCTCGAAAAAAAAAAAAAAAAAAAAAAAAAAGAATGGTATTGCATCTGTCTATATATACTCCACATAATCCTCTGTATTCACTTCCAGACTGTTTTTATATCTAATACAATATATGTGCAATGTAAAGAAATATTGTATTGTTCAAGGAATAACAACACAAACAATTTTCAAGTTTAATTCAGATGCACTTGTCCCCTCAACATTTCCAGCCCATGGTTGCTTGAATCAACAGATGTGAGAACAATGAGTGTGAAAAGCCATTGTACACTCAAAATGTCCTGAGACACCTCTGTATCACACAGAGCAAGTTAGGGCCATAGAGACGGAAGTGGAGGTGGACCAGGAGGTAGAAGCACTTGCCACATAAATCTAATGGCTTGAGTTTTATTCTCGACCTGAGTTTGGTACCTAGAACTCACAGTAGAGGAGAAAACCAGCAACTAAAAGCTGTTGTCTGACCTACAGATGTGCCTTCTGGCGCCTACAATAACAACTTTTGTTAATGTAAATATATGGGTCTAGAATGATGATTTGGTGGTTAAAAGCACTGGCTGCTCTTCCCTGGGACCTGGGTTTTGATTCCCAGAACCCACATGGCAGCTCACAACTACCCATAACTACAATTCAGATGCCCTTTTTTGGCCTCTGACAGTACCAGGCACAGACATGCAGGCAAAATACCCATATATGTAAAGCAAAATGTTTAATATTACAAGCTACGCAAGCTATGCAGAATGAAGGCTACAAATAGTCTTGCAGGATAAAAAGAAAACCAACCTGAATGAACGCTGTGCCCATTTTTCCTGGTCCACACGGGGAGCTAGTCCAGACTTTCCAGCCCAGAGAACATTGTCACAGGCAAAGTACAAGGCTCGGTTGAGGTGACTAACAGTGATGCAGAATCTCAGAACAACATCTGATAGGTGCACAGCTCTTTTGGCTGACTCTAGGGCGTCTGCTGAGTTCCCCAGGCGTAGCACTTGTGGAGATAAGGGAAAGCAAGGGTTTGAAGTAAAGAGTCCGGGGTGGGGATGGAAAAGAAAATAAAAAAGTGAAAGTAGAGCAAGCAATAATAACATACAGGAAGAAAGAGTAAAAGATAATTTGCTCAGCCAGGCGGTGGTGTCACACACCTTTAATCCCAGCACTTGGGAGGCAGAGGCAGGTGTATTTCTGAGTTCGAGGCCAGCCTGGTCTACAGAGTGGGTTCCAGGACAGCCAGGGCTACACAGAGAAACCCTGTCTCGGAAAACAAAACAAAAACAAAAAAAATTGCTCTTTTTCTTAACTTTAAATCGTAATTTATTATTGTGCCAGTTTAGATTTTACTTGCCTGTTCTCTTACCTCAACTGGAGGTATGCAGGGGAAAGCCTAATGATGGCGAACTGGCAAGAAGGGAGCATACAGGAAGAAGAGGCAACGTGCTACCAGCCCGAGGATGATAAAGAGAAAGGCTTGCTTTACTTACACTTTCGTCCGAGGCTCAGATGACCCTCCAGCTGTCGAATCTGTTTCTGTAACTCAGGACTAGCCCCATGTCTCTGCAAAGCATGGCCGAGAAGGGAACAGGCATACTGGGCGGCCCTGGACGGGAGGACAGGCAGAGTAAGGGACAGGCCTCCCTAATAGTTCTGCAAACAATGTCCTCCATGGGCTGGTGAGGCGGTTAAGAGCACTTGCTCTTGCAAGGGACCCGGGATCTGCTCCCAGCACCCACATGGTGGCTCACAGCTGTCTGTAACTTCAATTCCAGGGGATCCACCACCCTCTTCTGTCCTCTGTAGGCACCAGATACACATGTGGTGCATATACATTCTTGCGGACAAAACACTCAGACAAATAATAAGTAAATTGGTAAACAAAAACCCCCACCAGAGACACTTCCTCCTTTTCATACCAGTATCTTTCCGTTTTTCCTCAAGGCCAGGGGAAGGGAAAGACATGAGAGGAAAATAAAGCCTAGAAGATGGTGGAGAACACTCTTTGGAGTTAAGAGATTAAGAGTTTTGAAAATGATGAGGCCTATTGGGGCCAGTAAGCAGCCCGGGGTCCATCGCAAGCGTCCACACGCGAAATTATACATGAAACACAACAGAGGAAGATCTAGTTGAAGGGCAGATTACTTCTCCGGATAGGTAAAGTAAGAGATTAAGGTCCTTGAACTGAATGGAAACCGAAGGAGAGCCGAGATAGCGCGGCTCCTAGATGACAACTGGTGAGAGGACGCAGAACCGAGAGGATCGCCCCTCATGCCACCACAGCAGTGAGGAAACTGTTGCTCTTTGTGGACACGGTAACCCTAGGCGGCCTCCCCGCTGGCCCATTCATGCCTCAGTTTCCCCATGTTTCCCTTGAGCAGGGAAGAATCATCTCACAACCGGCTGCGGAGTGCGCCTCCCGGGCCGCGCGGGCCCCCGTAGCCACAGCTGACCCTTAGGGACCCCGTAGCGCGCCCGTCGCCTCGCGGGAACCTGCTCTGCCCTCCCGCCCGCGCTCCTCCGTCGGCCGCACCTACACAGCCGCTCCCGGGCTTGGCTCTGAGCACTGAAGCGGACCCAGGCGTCCATGACAGCGGCAGCCCGGGCCCACGGCGCCGCAGCCCGCCTGCTTCCAGCCCCAAGTCACGCCTCCTGGGCGAGCAACGGGGCTTCGCGAGGGACAAACGGCGGCGGGACAGCCAACCAGCCAGAGCCGACCTTGAAGCAGAATTTCAGGACGCGAAGCGAGATCGTGGGTGCATTTCCGGCAGCTCACCCCCTCTTGACAGTCTCCAGCTTTTAAGCACGCCCCCAGAAGCACATTCTGCTTTAAATTCTCAGCAGCAAGGGGTGGGGCCTGCGGGAGCCTGGAGGCGCTGTAGGACGCCGCCAAGGCACACACACCTCCCGCCCCAAACCCCCTCGGGTGCTGAAGAGTCCAGAACAACAGAAGTCTGTTCTAGACTATTTGTCCTAGGGAAAGCGGATGTGATGAGATGCCGCTTGGCAACCTCCTCCCGAATAGAGGATGTAGAGTCTAGGCAGAATTAAGTGAACAAATTCCACAGGCTACCACATCTGCAGGCTCCAGCACACTTTGAGGTCAGCAGTGGTGAAGAGATGCTCACTTTCTCAGAGGCTGCAGTGTCTGAATGGGACTGATCGCTATGCTCAGCATTACTTTGCTGGAGGAAACCTAGCTCTGCTGTAGTGATCTGCACCGCAATAACTCCGCCAACTCCATCGCTTCCCAGCCCCACAACTCTTGACTCATTTAGCTGCTGCCAACTTACAGGTCACTTCTGGGGTTATGCACTAAGACGATACCTGAAATATTAGATACCTTTATCTCTAAAAACTAATTACTATGTGGTTACAGCTTTCCTGAAGCAGTACTCAACCTGCTTTAATCCAGAGCTCAGGTGGAAGGTGTGAACGGAATGTTTGGGGGGAAATGTGGTTTCTTGCTTGTCTTGCTCTAGATGAGGGAGTAAGTTGTCAGGGCTCCAGTCTAGGCTGAACTTGAATTTAGCTACACAGTAGTTGCTTGGGAAGTTACTGCACTGCATGCTTTGCTGCCACTGGCAATGAATCCTAGGGGAGAGAGGCTGCTATCTCTTGCCAAGTTAGGATTTACATGCCAGATGCCTACATTTTGCTGGGTGATGTTGGGGTACATACTTCTAAATCCAATATTTAGGAGGCAGAGGCTGGAGACTGCTGAAAGCTTAAAGCCATCTTATCTAGAATTCCATTCCATTTGGCAGGAGCTACATATTGAGACTGACTTCAGGGGTACTAGCTTGGTGGTTGAGTGCTTACTGCTCTTGCCACGGACTGGGGTTCAATTCTTAGTATGTAAAGGGTTGCTCACAACTGTCTCTAACTCCAGTTCCAGGGAATCTGATGCTCTCTTCTGGCCTCCATGGGCACCAGGTATTATTATTAATTTTATGTATGCATACACTATAGCTGTCTTCAGACACACCAGAAGAGGGTGTTGAATCCCATTACAGATGGTTGTGAGCCACCATGTGGTTGCTGGGAATTGAACTCAGAACCTCTGGAAAAGCAATCAGTGCTCTTAACAGATGAGCCATCTCTCCAGCCCCCAGGCTGACATTCATACACGTAAAATAAAATTTATATATATATATATATATATATATATATATATATATATATACACACACACACACACACACACACACACACACACCCTATTCTCTGTATCTGCATCTTTCCCCTCAGGATGGCTTTGGTTTATTTCCACCTCTTAGTATCCTTCCTGTCCCACCTCCTCTAGGACATTGGTACAGAAAAACCTCCAGGTCAGGGAAAGACATTTTACAGCTCAGGAATCTATGAGGGTAAGCAACCCTAGTTAAGACTCATAGCAATGGATACAAGCCTGAACTGACCATGTCCTGTAACCAAGCAAGATTTCCAGTGTAGGAACGGACACCAACCCAGCCACAAAACCTTCAACCTACAATTTGTCCTGCCTACAGGATGTACTGGAGTAAAGGTGGTGCAGAAATTGTGGGAGTGGCCAACCAATGACTGACTGGTCCAGCTTGAGAGGGATGGGCCCAACAGGCCAGGCAGCAGAGGCTGGATAGCCCAGCAACCTAGGACAGAACCAAACAGGAATGGGGGAGGGGAACACTGAAATGACTCATGACTTTCTGCTGTACTCATAGACTGCCTAGCCCAGTTGTCGTCAGAGAGGCTTCACACAGCAACTGATGAAACAGAGGCACAGACTCACAGCCAAAAATTAGGTGGAGCTTGGAGAATCCCACAGAAGAGGGGACAGAACAACTACAAGAAAATGCACAGGATCAAGTAAGCTGGGCCCAGGGGCTCAGAAACTGAACTGCTCAACAGGGAGCCTGCATGAGACTGCTTCGCACATGCTACAGTTGTGTAGTTTGGTCTTCTTGTGGGACTTCTAACAGTGGAAGCAGTGCTGTCTCTGATTCTGCTGCCTACTTTTGGAACCCTTTCCTCCCACTGTGTTGCCTCATCTAGCCTTAATGAAAGAAGGTGCCTAGTCTTACTTAACCTACCACGACAGTTGATACCCATGGGAGACCTGCCTTCTGAAGAGAAATGGAGGAGTGGATGGGAGGAGGTAGTAGAGGGGAGGGCGAAACTGTGGTTGAGATATTAAAAAAAAAAATTTTAAAAAGGATAAATGGCTCTCTCCAGCCTCCCTCCTCCCCCCAAAAAAGAATGAAGCCAGCTGATGTAGTGACTCTAAGCCTGGTCTTAAGAGCAGGTTTCAGAACAGCCATGGCTAAGAGGAAAAATCCCATCTTAAAGAATAAGTGTGGCTGGACAGTTGGCTCAGTGGTTAAGAACACTTGTTCTTAGAGAGAACCCAGCTTCAATCCCTAGTACTGATATGTTGGTCACAACCATCTGTAACCTCCAGGGGAGGTAAATTCCAGGGGGATCCAACAACCCCTCAAACCTCAGCAGGTACCAGGCATGAAAATGGTACACAAACATGCAAAGGAAAACACCTGTAATTTTCTTTTTTTTAAAAGGTGAAGCACCTGTTAATCTCCACAACCTAGCACTGGAGGGATACTAGTAAGGTAGCTGGGATCCAGGCGAGTGTGAGCTAGTTAGTTTTAAGTCTTTGCCTATAAAGCAGCAGCAACAGCCTGACTATAGTTCCTAGACTTGGGAGGAAGAGGCAGGCAGATCTCTGAGCTCCACACTAGCCTGGAAAAAGAGAAAATGGGGTGGAAGTGGGAGGAGTCTGGACAGATGGCTCAGTGGTTAAGGGTACTGACTGCTCTTCCAGCTCACAACTGCCTGTAACTCCAGTATCTGACACACTCATGGATATACAAGTAAGCAAACACCAATACACATAAACTCAAAGTATATAAATTTAAGAAAACTATTGACATACATTTCTAACACATAAAACTTGAAATTTTTATAGTATAAAGAATGACATTAGCACCAGGCGTGGCCCATGCCTTTAATCCCAGCACTTTGGAAGCAGAGACAGGCAGATTTCTGAGTTCGAGGCCAGCCTGGTCCACATAGTGAGTTCCAGGACAGCCAGGGCTACACAGAGAGACCCTGTCTCGAAAAACCAAAAAAGAATGACATTAAGAATAGCAACAAATTGCTTACTTTTTTAAGCTCAAGTTTCAAAGTCATAGTAGTTAAAAAGAGGGTTTCTATTGTACATGGTTAAGTTCTGTAGGAAAAGGGGAGTTAGAAGGCCACACAATAAATTGAATTTTCCCCACTCCACCTCCTCTCCCCCAGGACAACATCTCTTTTTGTGGTTTTTCGAGACAGGGTTTCTCTTATAGCCTGGGCTGTCCTAGAACTCACTCTATAGACCAGGCTGGCCTCGAACTCAGAAATCTGCCTGCCTCTGCCTCCCAAGTGCTGGGATTAAAGGCGTGCGCCTCCACTGCCCGACTGGACAGTATCTCTTATGACCCAGGCTGACCTCCAACTAGCTATGTAGCTGGGGATGACTTCAACTTATTCTTTAGTCTTCACCTCCCCAGTAAGCACCAGGATCACCAGCAGGAGTATCATACCCATTCTGGTCCTGTTACAGCCCAGGGCTGTGCACATTAGGCAGGCATTCTACCAACCGAATCATATTCCTGATCCCTTATGAGCTATTCTTGTATTTCTCAAAGCACAAGGAACGTCCAGAAATATAAGGAAACGAGACAGAAGAGGATCTTCCCAACTAAGTGCTCATGTCCCATCCGAGCAGCTCACGGACTGCCTCTCTGGCTGACGCAGTTTACCAGCTCTCACAACCTCATGATTGCTCAGCTCACTCCTCCAAACACCCCAGAACAGCTAGAAATCAGAACCAGGCCTATCTTTTCCCAAACTAATACTTATTCAATCTATCTTATCAGAAACCACCAAGGCACCCTAACCCTGCAAATCTAAACTAAAATACATTCTTAACCAATTCAACCCCAAACCCCTAACAATTTACCAAAGGGAAGAGAAGGGCCAATAGCATCTAAAAAATGTTAAGTTTTAATATTTGCCACTATGCACTGAGGAGACAGAGACAGGAGCACCAGTCTGAAGCCAGGGTGGGCCACATAGGGACCTACACAGACAACAGATCAGTTACTACAGACAGACCAGAGAAAATCATTTCAGCTAAAAACTATGATAAAGGGGTACCAATGGCTTTTTTTTTTTTGCTTTTTTCGAGACAGGGTCTCTCTGTGTAGCCCTGGCTGTCCCGGAACTCAGAACTCTCCTGTAGACCAGGTTGGCCTTAAACTCAAGAGATCCACCTGCCTCCCAAGTAATGGGATCAAAGGTGTGCATACTGTTACATAGAACTCAAGCTAACAAACTTCACAGTTCAGCACCATATTCTAAGTAGAGCTGGCTGAGCATCTCAAATCTCCATGTTCTAATTCTAGGGACCACATAAACTGGTATGGTGGCCCATGGGTTAAATCTTAGCACCTGGAAGAGGCAAGAATCACAAGTTCAAGGTCATTCTCGGCAGTACGGTGAGTTCACAGCCAGACTGGGCTGCACAAGACTCTGACAGAGAAGCAAGAGAGACACTGATAACACATCTGTTCACAAGGGCGTGTAAAACTCATTCCTTAATGCCAAAAGAAAAATCTCATTACCCCTGCTCTCATCTTCTAAGAAAAGGAAATGCCGAGCAGTCTCCTTGAGCCTCTCTAGACACTCAGAATGTCACATCAGACAGAAGTATCTTCACGAACACTCAGAATGCCTCACTGTAGTTGTTCTGTGTCCAGAACAGTAAAATAGTTTTAAATGTAGAAAACAAAATGGAACATTTATTTTTTTTTTCTTAAACTCAAAGCAATACCAAGTAGACAGGGTAAGAAATTAAATATAAACACAAGGTCCGCTCTAGCCCTGGTTATCCAAGACAGCATAACCAAATGGACTCATAGAGAGACCACATGGTCAACAGAGGATTTATCAACGACGTCTCCGATCTGGACTCCTGCTTCGTCTTCGGCCTCCTCTAAGGAAAACGAAAACACAGAAGGGAAATCCATCAGAGAGATAATACAGTACCCTTATTTATCTTGCTCATGTCCCCTCTACTAAGATAAATGTGGTCCCGCCCCTTCATCTTACCTCCTCTTGCCCTTTGGTGGACCACGAACAAAACACCAGTCGACACTGATTGGTTGCCCCATCAAGTCTTGACCGTTTAGTCCCTCCATGGCAGCCTGAGCCTCTTTGTATGTTTCATATTCAACTAGAGTATACCCCTAGGGGAACATATAAAAGTATCAGTGAAGTGAAGAAAGTGAAGTAAATCAGTAAAGTGAAAGAAGCAAGAAAAACTACCTTCAAATATCCTGTGCGCCTGTCCAAATTAAGGTGGATATTTTTTATTTCTCCATATTCAGCGAATTTGTCATGGATATCTTCTTCAGTGGCTTCTTCATGGACTCCAGTGACAAAGAGAATCCAACCTTCAACAGCTGTTGGGTAGTGGAAGGTGTTGTATAAACATGTAAGATAAAAAGCCCAGCCGGGCGGTGGTGGCACACGCTTTTAATCCCAGCACTTGGGAGGCAGAGGCAGGCGGATTTCTGAGTTCGAGGCCAGCCTGGTCTACAGAGTAAGTTCCAGGACAGCCAGGGCTACACAGAGAAACCCTGTCTCAAAAAACAAAAACAAAAAAAACAAAAACAAACAAACAAAAAAAAAAAGCCCAGTAATCAGGAGGCAGAGGCAAGCAGATCCGTGAGTTTGAGGCCAACCTGGTCTACAAAAAGAGTTTCAGGACAGCGAGGCTGTTACACAGAGAAGCCCTGTATCAAAAAACAAAAAACAAAACCCAAAACAAAACAAAAAAACCCAAACAAACTAAAAGAGAAAAATTCCAAAAAGAACCACAATAAGCAATTTCCTGAGACTGGTTAAACAACTCTTGACTTTCCATTTAAGTGCCAATCCATCCAGACTCCCCACAGGTCCTATTTACTTACAGCGCTGTGGTCCAGGTTCATCGCCATCCTGCTCCACACTGTCATAATCCTCCCGCATCCGCGCTCGGGACCCCTCTTCTAAAAGAATACATACCAGATCACCGAAAACTGTCCTCCAAATGTGTTCCCATCGCACCCCCAAATTCGCGAACTTCTCCCTATTAGACCACTCTACCCTAGTCCCCACACTCACCGGAGCCAAAACCGCGGCCCTTCCGTTTCTTCGCTTTTTCTTTTAATTTGTGGATGCTTTCTAGAATTCCAGGTGAGAAAATAAGAAGCAACAAAAATACGTCATTAAAAAAAAAACCTGTCTCGTTTCCTAGACTATCTGGAATGATACGACACGGACTCGGGCTTCAGTCCCTTCCCGGTTCCGCCCCTAATTCCTTCCGAAGGGGGAGGAGTCTATCTTTTCGAGACCCAGTTCGTGGGGTCGCATCCCACGAAAATTTCTCCTATTGCACTCTCCTCTCGCACCTTCCCCTCTTCCCGCAGCCGCCTCCACTCTCCTCACCGTCTCCATCCTCATCCATGGCGAAATCCTCGCCCCCCGCCTCGTGAAGATCCAGCACGTCTGCCATCTTGCTTCTCTCGGCGCTCTCTGTGCCGCTAGGAGCTAGGCACCTCGGGAAACTGTCGCAGAGGGAAAACGTCACGAGTCAGGCTGACCAATCAAAGGTTCCCTTCAAGTCCCGCCCTCCGCGCGGTGAAAATTCGCAAATGTAGGCGGCCCGACTTTGAAGAGGAGCTGGAAACCTAGCGTGGCTAAACGCCTTTAATTCCAGCATTCCGGGGCGCGGGTCAGGTACTTTGAGTTTGAGGACGTAGGCTACATAGTTTGTGATTGGTTTTGGGGTTTTGCTTTTTTTTTTTTTTTTGTGACAGGGTCTCTATATATAGCCCTAGCTCGGCTCTAAGTTACAGATCTCCAATTATATTCCCCTTCCACATACTGCTGGGATTAAAAGCGTGTGCTGCCATGTCGGGCACCAAGGCTACAGAGTGAGACCCTGTCTCAAAAAATAAAAAGTAAAATAAAATGGTTTCGAAAGTTCAGTCAAGCCGGGCGGTGGTGGCGCACGCCTTTAATCCCAGCACTTGGGAGGCAGAGGCAGGCGGATTTCTGAGTTCGAGAGTTCGAGGCCAGCCTGGTCTACAGAGTGAGTTCCAGGACAGCCAGAGCTATACAGAGAAACCCTGTCTCAAAAAACAAAAAAAAAAAACAAAAAAAAAAAAACCAAAAAAAAAAAAAAAAAAGAAAGTTCAGTCAAGTTGAGCAGGTTGGAGATCGGGAACGCAGCCGCGTTGGGACGAATTTAAAGGGTAAGTGAAGTCAGTGACTTTCTCTTAAAACCTTCAACTAACAAGAAATCCTTTGATACATATCTACATATATGGATTTATTGAAATGACTGACAGGCTGCAGTCCAGCTAATAGAAGAGTAGCTAGCTGTGTCCAGAAAGGCCAAGAATCTTGTAGTTGCTTAGTCCTACAAGGCTGGATGTCTCAGCTGGTCTAGAATCCTGAGAAAGTAGGCCCCAATGCTGGTGAAGAAATGGACTTATGAGCAAGGCAATGTTCTTATATAGACTTTCAGCATAAGGTATGGCCCATATTAAAGGAATGTCTGCCTGCTTTAAGATTTGGATTAAAGAAAGGTGTGTGTCTTCCTGCCTCGAGATCGGATCAAAGGTGTTCTTCCTACCTAAAGTCTGGACTAGAAGTGGATCCACACACTTCACCAAACAGAAAATCTCACAGGTGTGCCCTCCATTTCTGGATTTGTAGTTCATTCCAGAGATAGTCAAACTGACAACTGAGAATAACCATCATGGGTTCATGGGTGGTTTTTTTTTTTCTGTTTGTTTTGTTTTTAAGACTTGCTTTGGTCATTCGTCTGTTCACAGCAGTAAAACTCTAAGACAGAAGTTGATACCAGGAACTGGGGTATTGCTGTGATATGCTTGACCATGTTTTTGTTTGGAAGAATGTGGATTTGGGGACTTTGGATTTGGAAAGCCATGGAATGTTTTAAGTGGGACTTAATGAGCCATCCATTCTCACCCTTAATGAAACCAGCATCACTGAGGTGAAATCTGGGAAGTGTTTTCTGAGAGCACAAAGAAGCTGTGTTCCAGAGATAACCACGGTTGTGCTGCAGCTGGACTTGGTAATGTGTAAGAGTCACCCAGGTAGTACTGGTTTTGAAGGCATGGAGGGGTCATGAAGAACAGCTGAGGCTTGGAACTGTGAGAGGCCAGGGAAGGCCATTGGTGAAGGTGCAGCCTCAGTCATAGTTTACGGCCCAGGACTGAAGGGGTCATGCAAGGGATTTGAGGCTTGGCACCATGAAAGAGAGTCTATGAGAGGCCATTGGTGAAGCCTAGTTGCACCTGAAGACCCCAGCATATAGTTGGCCTTTTCTTATTCTACTTTGGGCTCACATATAAAACTTTGGGAAATGCTATTACAGGTAAACAAAGCTAAATGATAGTTTAAGCAAGGGAGTAACAGTCATGAAGAGATACCAACAGGAATGAATGCACAGATCAGTTAGGAAGCTCTTGCAGTGGTCTTGTTCAGACGGTGAGAAAGGACTGGATAAAGCAGAAAATAAGGACAAAACAGATTGGAGAGCTCAACAGACAGTGACTACTACTAAATAACTAGGTGCATAATCATTCCATAAGAGCCAGGATGCCAAGGAGGAGCAAGTGTGGAGAAATGGGTTTCATCATGGATATGTGAGTTCAGTGTTTCTGTTATATCTGACGGTGTTGGCCAGTGTGTAGAATGCAGATACAAAAGCCTAAAACAAGTTCAAGTAAAAGAAAGCTATTTGAGAATTAGATGTATTGAGAGTTTAAGTTGCCATAGTAAAAACGAGCTGAAGAAAAAGCCATGGACAAAATCCAGGCTCCTTAACTATTTGGAGAAGAGAGACAGGCTGCCTTCCCACAGCCTGAAAACCTTTTTCAGTGTATGTGTGGGTGCACCAGGGCATGTTAGAGCCCATCTGATATCTGCCTCAGTTATCCTGGGAGGATGTGACACATGTTTGTAATTCCTGATTCTGCCAGCAGAGAAAATGGGTGACTGTAGTAAGACCCTGTCTCAAAAAACCAACAATCAGGCTGTACTATTCAGGGTTCTCTAGAGTCAAAGAACTGATGGGTAGTCTCTATATAGCAAGGGAATTTGTTATGTTGACTTATGGTCTGTTGTCCAACTCCCCAACAATGGTCAGCTGTGAATAGAAGTCTATGGATCTAGTAGTTTCTCAGTCCCACAAGGCAAGCAGGTAAAGAGAGAGTCTTCCTTCTTCCAATGTCCTTTTGAAGGTCCTCAGCAGAAGGTGTGGCACATACCATGCCTGGATCTGGGACTTGCTTTGTCCCAGATGACCTTGAACTTAGAGATCTCCTTGCCTGGTCTCCTGGGATTCATTGGCACTATGCCTGAAGATCAGGATCACAGATGAGCCTTCCAGTTCTGGATTGTAGTTCATTCCAGATATAATCAAGTTGACAACCAGGAATAGCTATTACAGTCCACTCCTTGTCAACTTGACACAAATAATATCTCATGTCCACATGAAACAATAATGAGGTCATGAATACACCTGACATGACCTAACTCTTTCTCGTACAATCGCAAATGCATTTGTAAATTTACAATGGGGCAATGTCTCTTGGAAACATTCTTTTAGTATCTCAACTTATATACCAATTGATGTTAAAGAAATTGGAGGAAAGTACAAATAGCTATATAAATGTGTTAACAAAATAAAACAGAAGCATTTATATTACTTCATAATCCTTGTTTCTGCAACTGGTCACATGGCCTTAGCTGATATTTATAACTACCTTCCTTACTACTCATTCTGTATTTCCTCCACCCTCTGCAAACACCTCAGCAGGTCCAGGCTCTTTTCCTGGAGGAGTGACCCATACCTTCATTCCTGATAGGTCTGCGTCCTTTGTCATCCTGCTTGGATTAGGCTGTTGTAGTTTCACATTGACTTGGTAGTATTAAGAGACGCCCTAAGGGATCTCCTGCACTCCAGACATAATCCTTCCTGCCTCCATTGTGGAGAGGCAATCCAATTTCCCCATGGTAATCTGGATCTATCACCCCTCCTAACACTGTTATTTCTTTCTTAGCCTGTTGGTTTAAGGGCATTAGAAGCTCAAAATGACCAGGAGGAAGTCTGAGCTTACAGTTCAATGGAATGTTTGTTGTGGCTCCTGGCAGGAGCACTCTCCACTCTGGAACCAAAACTTCTAGGCCAGCAGAACCTAGAGATGTGGAGACAGGAAGCAAAAATTTTCCTAGAGGGTCACTAGGAGTAATGGTGAGTGGAACTATTGCCTTTTCCATCCCTTGATTCCTGGACCCATGGATCCTGACTATGTGTGAAACTACCATATATCGGACGCTGATTCAAAGCATATACTGCCTTCTGAAGGACTCTGCCCCAGCCCTCCATGCTGCTGCCACCTAATTGGGACTTTAACTGCATCTTCAAAAGGGCATTCCATCATCTTTCTGTCAGACCAGCTGCTTCAGGATGATAGGGAACATGGAAAGACCAGTGGATTCCATGATTGTTGTCCCACTGCCGCACTTCTCTGGCTGTGAAATGAGTTCCTTGGACAGAAGCAATACTATGTGGAATACCAGGATGATGGATAAGGCATTCTGTAAGTCCACAGATGGTGGTTTTGGCAGAAGCATTGTGTGCAGGAAAGACAAATCCATAACTAGAGTAAGTAGTTATTCCAGTAAGAACAAAACGTCCTTTCCACCGAGGAAGTGGTTCAATGTAGTCAGCCTGCCACCAGGTTGCTGACTGGTCATCTTGAGGAATGGTGCCACATCTGGGGTTCAGTGTTGGTCTCAGCTTTGGCAGATCTGGCATTCAGCAGCAGCTGTAGCCAGGTCAGCCTTGGTGAGTGGAAGTCCGTGTTGTTGAACCCAAGCACAACCCCTATCTCGGCCCACCACGGCCACCTTGTTCATGTGCCCATTGAGTAGTGACAGGGATGGCTGGGGACAGAGGCTGACTGTCCACAGAACGGGTCATCTTAGCCATGTGATTACTGAACTGCTCCTCAGCTGAAGTCTTCTTGGTGGGACACAAATATCTTCACATCCTTTGCCCACTTGGAGAGATCTATCCACATACTTCTTCCCCAGATTCTTTCTCACCAATCTCCAATTGTGATCTTTCCAAGTCCCTGACCATCCAGCCAATTCATTGGCTACAGCCCATGAGTCAGTGAACAATCGCACATCTGGCCATTTCTCCTACCAAACAAATTGTAATACCCTGTGTACTGCCCGAAGTTCTGCCCGCTGTGAAGAACGTCCCTTCACCTGTATCTTTCAGGGTTGTCCCAGGAAGGGGTTGTAATGCTGCAGCTGCCCACTTCTGGGTGGTGCCTGCATAATGTGCAGAGCGGTCAGTGTCCTAGTCTTCTTCAGTCAGCTGATCATAGGGAACACTCCATGAGGCTATAGGTACATGCTTGGCAGCAGATGGCATTGTAACAGAGGTAGAAACCATAGGCATTTGAGCAACTTCTTTATGTAACTTGCTTGTGCCTTCAGGACCTGCTCAGGCCCAAGTGAGTATGCACCACTCCCATGTGGTAATAGATTGCTGCTGTGCAGTCCTGCTTTATGACTTGGAGGGTCCGATAACACCCGGCTCATGATGGGCAGTCCAGGTCACATGGTAACTTGGTTTCAAATGTTCAGTTTCCACTAAGGCCTAATAGCAGGCCAAGAGCTGTTTGTCAAAGGGAGAATAGTTGTCTGCAGATAATGGTAGAGCTTTGCTCCAAAATCCCAAAGGTCTCTTCTGTGGTTCACCGTTAGGAGCCCGCTAAAGGCTCCAAACAGCATCCTGTCTGCCACCAACTCCTCAAGTACCATTGGGTCTGCTGGGTCATATGGTTCAAGTGGTAGAGCAGCCTGCACAGCAGCCTGGACCTGTTGGAGAGCCTTCTCCTGTTCCAGACCCCACACAAAGCAAGCAGCTTTCCGAGTCACTTGGTAAATAGGCCTGAGTAAGGAATGTGCTGTCTCCAGAATCCAGATAGAACCACTAAACTTTGTGCTTCTTTCTTGGTGGGTGGGGCCAAGTGTAATAACTTATCTTTCACCTTAGAAGGAATATCTCTCATGTGTCACACCATTGGACTCCTAAGAACTTCACTGAGGTAGATGGTCCTTGAATTTTAGTTGAATTTATTTCTCATCCTCTGATACATGCATATGTGTTCCCAACGAGTCCAAAGTGGTTGCTACTTCCTGCTCACTTGGTCCAATCAGCACAATGTCATCAATGTATTGCACCAATGTGGTATTTTGTGGAAGAGGCAGATGATCAAGAACCCTTCTAACTAAGTTATAACACAGGGCAGGAGAGTTAACATATCCTTGAGGCAAACTGTAAAGGTATACTGCTGGCCTTGCCAACTGAAAGCAGATTGCTTCCGGTGGTCCTTAGGGTCAGGTACTGAGAAGGCATTTGCTAGATCAATAGCTGCATACCAGGTACCGGGAGATGTGTTAATTTGTTCAAGTAAGGAAACTACATCTGGCACTGCAGCTGAAATTGGAGTTACCACAGGATTCAATTTTTGATAGTCAACTGTCATTCTCCATGATCTATCTGTCTTCTGCACTGGCCAGATAGAAGAGTTAAAGGCAGATGTGGTGGGAACTATCACCTCTGTATCTTTCAAGTCCTTGATGGTGGCAGTAATTTCTGCAATTCCTCCAGGAATACAATACTTGTTTTTGATTCACTATTTTCTTTGGCAGAAGCAACTCCAAAAGCTTCCGTTTACCCTTTCCAACCATAATAGCCCTCACTCCACAGGTCAGGAAACTGATGAGATGAGACTTCTGCCAATTTCTAAATATATCTATCCCAGTTATACATTCTGAAACTGGGGAAATGACCACAGGATGTGTTCAGGAACCCACTAGATCTACTGTGAGTCAGACATCAGCCAAAACTCCATGAATCACCTGACCTCCATAAGCCCCTAATTTAACTGGAGGGCCACAATGTCTCTTGGGATCTCCTGGGATCAGCATCAAGTCAGAACCAGTATCCAATAGACCCCGGAAAGTCTGATTATTTCCTTTCCCCCAGTGTACAGTTACCCTTGTAAAAGGCCGTAGGTCCCTCTGGGAAGAACTGGAGAAAAGCTAACAGCAAAACTTTGAGGTATCTGATCAAGATCCTTCCTCAGGGAAACCTGGCCACCCCTTCATCCAAGGGCTTCTGAGTCTGCAAACTGGCTCAAGTCTGGAAATTGACTGGCCGAGATTGCCTTTTGCCACAATCCAGTGTAGCCTTTCTTTCATTTGAGAATTTTTCTGCTTATACAGATCAAACAGATATGCAGTAGGCTTCCTATTTTATGCCTGGACCAGTACCAAAGGTCGGAATGAGTCATGCCATTATAAATTTCACCTCTCCTGTGCTGACCATTACAGGCTATGTCATTATAAACATTTTGTCTACGTTGACTATTATAACTATGATCACCTTGACTCTGGGTGATTCAATGCTGCCACCTGGCCCCTGTTACCTCTGGGCCCAATTAAGCCCATTGAATTTAATTCATCTAATTGAGCAGCAGCATCTCCAACCCTTGAAGAGGATTAGGTTTTACACAATGTAACCACTCTAGGATTGCAATTTCCATGAGCTTTAAAATCCCTTCATCAACACTAAGCCAAGGGATATCCGGCATCTCCAACTCCTTTTCAGTAGGCCATCTTTTGATAAACGCTTCAGCCAATCATTCAAACAAACTTCTGACACGCCCCCCCTTTTTTTTTAACTGTGGGAGCTTCCATATTAAACCTAGGATCTCCGCTCAGAGCGCTCATGTCAATACACTCAGCCTGATGTAGTTTTATGTTCCTTCCACCATTATCCCACACCCTTAAATCCATTCCCACACACATTCCCCAGACTTCTGCTTGAGTGAATTAGCAAACTCATTAAGCTCCTTAGTAGTGCAGCGCATTTCCTCATGGACCACACTTTCTACCTCTCTAGGAGCCTGCTTTGCCTTGAGTCTGGTTCTAGGTCTAGAAGAAACTATTGGAGGGCCTTGAGAAGCATCAGTATTGTCTTGTCTGGCATTTTCTTCAGAGAAAGTCACTGCTGGTTTATCAGACTCTGAGGAATTAATTTCATCATATGAAAAGGGCATTGTTTCAAGGGGTGGGGCTGAGGGTACTACTTCCTCAGGTGAGGTAAACCCTTGAGAATCTGAAGATTCAAAATTTCTCAGCTTCAATAGAGTCCTCCCACACATCCCCGTCTCAAGATATAGAATCCCATTCTTTGCCAATTGATACCCTTACTTTAACTGCTGACACCCTCTGAGCTGAGACTTGAATTTTCCCTGTAATTCAGCCAACCTTATAATGAGGGTTTCAGTTGATTGTCTGCAGCTTGAGCCCTCTGGCTGCTGCAGAGAAGATTCTCTCAAGGACACACTTAGAGACCTTTAGATTGTTTACTTGATCTGGAGTCGTTCGGTTTTATCATACAGCTCATTCTTTTCCTTCATCAGTTTGTCCAGAGATACTAAGAGCAACAAGCCAGCAAAACCATTTTCTGATTTTCCCCCCAACTTGTAGAAAGCTTTGTACACCAGGTCACCTAATTCATCGCCAGTCACAATTAATGGATCAAGATAATCAAAGGCAGTAGCTTCTTTAAGCTTGAAATATAGTTTCCACCACCGGCCTTCCATATTCTCCAAGCTCCCAGGAGAGAGAGCATCTGGAGAGGTTTCAGTAATTGAAGGTGCTGGTGAATTATTAAGTCAACTCCAGAGTCTTAAGATTCATCCTTATACTTCTGCTCTAGAACCACTCCCTGTACCAACTTCTGTGTTAGTCAGGGTTCTCTAGAGTCAAAGAACTGATGGGTAGTCACTATAGTAAGGGAATTTGTCATGACTTATGTATAGTCTGTAGTCGAACTCCTCAACAGTCGTCAGCTGTGAATGGAAGTCTACGGATCTAGTAGTTTCTCGGTCCCACAAGGCAAGCAGGTAAAGAGAGAGTCTTTCTTCTAACAATGTCTCTATGTAGGTCTCCAGCAGAAGGTGTGGTGTGCCACCACACCTGGATGTGGGACTTGCTTTGTCCCAGATGACCTTGAACTCAGAGATCTCCTTGCCTTGTCTCCTGGGATTCATAGCCACTATGCCTCAAGATCTCCATGCCAAGATCCAGGTCAGAAACTTGTAACTCCCAGCCTCAAGATCAGGATCACAGGTAAGCCTTCCAATTCTGGATTGTAGTTCATTCCAGATATAGTCAACTTGACAACCAGGAATAGCCATTCCAGAGGCTTAGTGGCACATGGCCCTGACCTCAGTACTTGGGAAGTAGAGATAGAAGGATAGAATATCCAAGGCCAGCTTTGGCTACATAACAATTTGGAAGCCAACCTTGGCTGCACATCCTGTCACAGGGGGAAAAAAAAGTCATTCTGGCTTACTAGACAAAAAAAAATTTTAATTGTGTAAAATTTTACATAGAAAATACATAGATAGTACCAAAAGGATAACTAAAATCTTCAACATCAAAAGTGAACAGAACAATTTTTTTCATATTCTTTGGAGTCTTGGGTTTCTGAGAAAAATAATAATTCCAGTAGGTACAAGGAGAATTCTTCCCCAAACTGATAACCCTTAATGCATCTTACACAAAGAAAGGTGCACAGGAGAAACTGGAGGATTCTTGTTATCTAGGTTATAAATATCAATTTAAAACAGTGACACATATCGTGTAATGCAGGAGCCTCTGTTCCAACCCAATGTGTTTTATGAAACAAAGAGACAGAGCTAACTAAAGGAATCAAAAAACCCTTTTCCAAGCTCTGACACTGTTCTAACTGGACCCCTACTCTGATCCCATGTGTCCTTGTCACAAAGATAATTTTAAAAACAAGGAAGCTGCTTTTCCCCTTGTTCCTACCCAGTGAGCTAACTGATCTAACCCTGCTTCCTTCCTTCCTCCTTCCTGCCGAGTCTCTCGATCCCTCTCCTGCTCTTTCTGCAGTAGAGATTAAATTCAGGCCTCACATGCCAGGCAGACTCTTTTCCATTAAGCTATATCCCCAGCCCTGTTTTTACTTCATGTTTTTGAGACAGAGTCTTGCTAAGTTACCCAGGTTGCCCTTTGACTTGCTCTAGCTGGGATAGAACTTGAATTTCCAATCTTGCCTTAGCCTCCTTTGTAGCTGAGATTATAGACCTGCACCACCAAACCCAGCTCCTAATCGAAAATCAAACTGCAATTGTCAAACGGGAAGTCGAATTATTGTAGCATTAACTATCCCAACTTGATAGAAAGTGCACTGAACAATAACACAACACAGCAGAGACCACAGAACGAAGAGAAATTGAGCTTCCTACATAAAATTCTCCAACAGTACAGAGCCTACCTATCCTCCAGGTCAGTTTTCTCTTCACACACAAGTAACCTGTTGTGCTTAAGAATCACATTCCAATCCAAGCTTTGTCTACCCCTGATCTTACAGTCAAGGTGGAGAAGAAAGAAGCAGGAAATAAGAATCCAAGGTGTGGACACTTCAGAGTAAGCAGCACAGCTCAGTGGACAAGAGAGGAACATGGTTCTCACTAAACAGAACAGCTACAGTTTCTAAACAAAATGCTTCTTGTTGTTGAAGGAAGGCAGCTAGTGTGGGATTCACTGAAATCCTAGCATGTGAGAGGCTGATGCAGGAGGTCTGGAGTTCAGGGTCATTCTCAGCTACAAGGAGAGTTTGAGGCCAGCCTGGGTTACATAAACAAAATGGAAAAAGTGTGTGTGTATACACATGCACTTGTGCATGTATGTGCAAGTATGTCTTTATTACATCTGATGAGTGAGAGAAGTGACTCCAAGGAATGGTGAAAGGCAAGCAGCCTGACCCCTTACCCTCTTCTCACATCCAGAAATCCAAACTGCTAACAGGGTAGATAAGCCCAGAAGCAGCTTAGGTAGTGCACCTACCCTCTGCATAGGAATTGGGTGTATACTTCTCTTGTTCTTAGGCAGTTTCTCAGGAGTGACTTTAAAATAAAAACTAGGCCAGGCATGGTGTCCCATACCTATGATCTCAGCAGGATACAACCACAAGTATGCTGCCCTCCTAGTCTATAGGATGAGTTCCAGGCTGTAATAAGATGTCTCACAAAACAAGAGGAAGCCAAGTCTCCTTCTGGACATGAAAGAGCACTTAGAGGCAAGGAAAAAGGGAAGTGAGCAGGAGAGGTGTATTGGAAGATCTCTTCAAAGCAAAACACGATGCTCCCACCCTATTTTAGTAGAGTAGAAGCCAAGAATATGGAGGAGGTGGAGCACATGCTCCTTAGTCCCACTGTGGTTTTATTAGTGGGAGGGGAGGGGTCTGAGACAGGACCTTACACACTGTAGCCCATACTGACCTGGAACTGCCTATGTAGTCCAGGCTGGCCTCATATTCCAGCAATACTGCCTCAGACTCCTGAGTGCAGAGATCATAGCTATGAGTTATCGCATACCTGTCTGCTGACTTAAAGAGACATGAGCACTTAGTAAACTGTACAGGTTAATGAGTTAGAGAATCTGAAGGTTTAAGAGTCAACCATGCTCTAAAATGGACAGTGATATTTCAAAGGTAACTACATCCCCAAACTGGAAGGTAGAAAAGGGATCTCTTACCAAATAGGAAGCCAGGTGTAGAATTTATACATATATATCTATATTTTAAAGTATAAAATTGAAAAAGTATATACAGAAATCATCATCCTACGTCTTAAAAAGGAGACATACAAAAAAAGGGCCCGAAGAGCCATGGCGAGTAGAGGGTCTGTGCTCAGCAGCTGGAGGAGTGCAGAGTGCCCAGCTGCCCGGCAGCCAGCATGAGAATATCTTTCTTCTCCTTGTGGAAGCGCAGCTCCTTGCCCGCCAGCCGGGCTTCATCGAGCTCCCGTTCAGTGGAAGCCAGCTCTCTTGACAGTGCCCCTGGCACACTCTGCTCCCGGCTCACCCAGTCCAAAGCCATTTGGTGGCGAATATCATCATCCAGGGCCCGATGAGAATAATGCGCCAACACCTCCTGGTCAGAGGGGAATGCAAAGATCACTGAGAAAGTAAAAAAACATTATACACATCCTAGAGCACAGTGACCCCAATGGGTAAAGACATGGTCCTACACATTATATAGCACAGTGACCCCCAATGGAAGTTAGCCTTGATGTCTGACCTGAAGTTAGCACATCTGTCCTATAAAGAGCTGTTTTCCCCTGTCTTTAAGAGTTTATGTAAAGCAGGATTGGGTATGGCAAGAGGTTGAATACAAGCACAGATCAGAGGAGCACAGGGCTCTGCTGTGGGGAGCACAGTGAAGTTCAGAGCAGCCAGAGCTCGGGCTCAGGGACAGGTCACACCTTCCAGTACCCCAACAGCATGCAGAAGGTGTTTGACTTAGGTGGAAAATGTGGCCATCTTTTAAAACAGAATAAAATCTAAATGTGTGAAAACTTCAGTACACTATCTCGGTCGGTCGGTCGGTCGGAGATAGGGTTTCTCTGTGTAGCCCTGGCCATCCTGGAACTTCTTATGTAGACCAAGTACACTGTCTCAAGTCACCACTGGCCCTTGTTCAAGGGTCTGTAGGAATTCCCATAACTTGGCAAAATTATGTTAAAAATGCAATGGCTATTTTATCTCTTCTGCTCCAGCTAGCTCCTTTTTGTTCTAGAACGAGTGGAAGGGTTCCATGAAACGATAAAGACAGATCCACAATTAGTGTGATAGACTTGGTCCTTCCTGAGTTCTTAGAAAGACACTCAGAAGGTGATAGTTTCAGAGTTGCCAGCCTGTCTTAGAAGGGAGGCAGAGCAGACTAGTTCATGTTACAACAGCCAGGAAACAGAGAGGACAAAACAACAGGGCTGTCTGTTTGTTTGATTTTGTTTTGAGACAGGGTCTCACTGTGTAGCACTACCTGGTGTGGAACCTGGTGTGGAACTAGCTAAAACTCAGATATACCTGCCACTGCCTCCTAAGAGCTAGGATTGAAGGTGTGAGCTATCAAGTCCAGCTTAGCCAGAGTTTCTTTTTTTTTTTAATTATTTATTTTATTTATATGAATACACTGTCACTGTCCCCAGACAAACCAGAAGAGGGCATTGGATCCCATTACAGATGGTTGTGAGCCACCATGTGCTTGCTGGGAATTGAACTCTGAACCTCTGGAAGAGCAGTCAGTGCTCCTAACCTCTGAGCCATCTCTCCAGCTCCCACCAAAGAGTTTCTTAAGGGAAACTTTATGGTGGGGAAGCAAGGCAAAAGGAACACAGTGACATTCAAAAAGCAAAGAATACAAGAGCAGGCTGGGTGCCTACAGAAGGCAAAGATAGGTGGATCTCTGTGTTCAAGGCCAGCTATATACTACAGAGTGAGTTTCAGGACAGCTAGGCATACACAGAGAAACCGTGTCTTCAAAAACAAAAACAAAACAAAAAGAATACAAGAGCAAAGAAGATGCGCAAATAAGGCCTTCAGTAAACATAGCCTGGTAACCATTTAACAGCAGAAAGGAGCTCTCCTGCCCGTTTCCCTCCAGTGACTCCTACCTGTCGAGAGCACTGTCTCTCCCTCATGGCCTTAAGGCTGCCATTCCAGTGAAGCAGCTGAAAAACTGTCATCAGCTCCTGAGGGAAGACGAAAGGACATGCCAGTGTGAAGGCCATTTTTGTTGTCAACCTGATGATGATCCCTGCAACTAACTAAAACCCACACTGCTGGGTACACCTGAGTGATTTTTCTTGATTAGATCATTTGAGGCGGAATGACACCCCCACCCCCTTAAGTCTGGGCCACACCCCATGGCAGTCTCTATGAAGCACATGAAGACAGAAGCTTGTTCTCTTTGCCTGCTTGCTCTTGCCCTCGCCAGGAAGTCCATTCCTTCATTGGCCTTACAGCCTACTCCTTTGGGATTTTGGTGTGTACTGAAGGCTAGCTGAGACATCCAGCCTCATCAACCAACCAGCTACTGGATTCTAAGAGACAGTCATCGTTGGAAAAGTCAGACCACAGCCTATAAGCAGCCACTCTAATAAACTGTGTGTGGGGTGGACGTGCATTCTATCAGTTCTGTTTCTCTAGAGAAGCCTGACTAATACAACCAGGATAGTGATTTTAAGTTAGGAGACTGCATCAGAATCACAGGGGAGACTTTTTACAAATCACATGGTAGAAGCATCTGTAATTACCAATTCTGGAATGCACCCTGAGGGGGAAGAGAGGTAACTGTACATTGTAAAATCTAACCACTTTCTCTCCCTGTGTTTTTTTTTTTCTGAATAAGGAGGTAAAGATTAGTAGGTGACAATAAACTTGCTGTGTCAGGCTGCCCTGCATTGTTAGAGCCAGGGATGTGAGTGGAAGCGTACCTGGAACTCCAGCATTGACTTGCCCTTGTTAGATTCCAGCATGAATCGGAAGGCACCAATCCCCGTGTTTGGGTTGTCGGCTTCCTCTCTGTTACCCTGGTAACAGAAGAACGAAAAAGACAACTAGATCTTCAGTCAGAATTATTTTGACTGGCAGTGTCCAATAGGTATTAGCCACATTTTTGTTCATGTGTGCATGTGTACTCATCTGGAGGCCAGAGCTAGTGCTTTTCCTCAGGAACATGAACCACCTCCTGTCACACAGAGTGGTTGGCCTGAGGCTCACCAGGTAGGCTAGACCTAGGGCTTCCCAGCCCTGGAAGTATACATGTGAGCTGCCACACTCAGCACTTTAAATGGGCTTTGAGGGTCAAAATAAGGGCCTCCTGCTTGCAAGGCAAATGCTTTACCTGCTAATTCATCCTCCAGCCCTTCATGGGCCACATACTTAATTGTTTAAAGATTTTTTTATGTGTGCATGTTTGTGTATCATGTTTTGAATGTCAACAGAGGCCAGAGGAAGGTAGCAGCTCCCCTTTGGAGTTGGACAGCTCAGCAGACACAGGGAACCAAACTCTGGTCCTTGCAAGAAGCAGCAGTGCTCTTAATTGCTGAGCTATTTTTCTAGCTCCCAATTGTTCAATTTAAAATTTTTCAGTTGCCACATTGAAATAAAAATAAGTAGGTTAAGAGTATAGAGTCTGTGTGTGTGGAGGGAGGCCAGGTATCTTCTCTCTCTCTCCACTTTATTTGTTCTTTTGTTTATTTTAAAAATTTATTAATTTATTTTATGTATGTGAGTACACTGTTGCCATCTTCAGGCACACCAGAAGAGGGCATCAGATCCCATTACAGATGGTTGTGAGCTGCCATATGGTTGCTGAGAATTGAATTCGGGACCTCTGGAAGAGTAGTCGGTGCTCTTAACCTCTGAGCCATGTGTCCAGCCCCTGGCTTTTGTCTTTTTTTTGGTTTTTGGTTTTTTAATTTGTTTTCTGAGACAGTTTCACTGTATATCTCTGGCTGTCCTAGAACTCAATCTGTAAACCAGTCTGGCCTTGAGCTCAGAGATCCACCTGCCTCTGCCTCCTGTGTGCCCGGGATTAAAGATGTGTACTACTACCACCTAGATGATAAAAAATTTTCTTATTATTTTTGTTTGCTTGAAATAGGTTCTCTCCATGGCCCTGGTTATCCTGGAACTTACATGACCATCATTATAAAAAATTTTGAATTCCACAAAGCTCGAATTAAAAGTATCAAGATACCAAAGAAATATAAAGATAAATCAATAAACATAAAAGCACACATAAAGAATTAAAGTCAGACTTGGAGCACATAACACACACACACACAAATTGGTAGAATAAACAGAATAGAAATGCAGACAAAAGGGCTGGAGCCATGGCTCAGTCATTAAGAGCACTGGCTACTGCCCCAGAGGACCAGGGTTCAATCCCCAGGACCCACATAGCAGATCAGAATCATCTATAAATCCAGTTCCAGGGACCTAATGCTCATCTGGCTTCTAGGCACTGCACATATGTGGTACACCCATATATACAAAATAATAAAAGACATAAAAGAACAAAAATGCACCAGTTCCCCACCTCTCCCATCCCCCATGCTCCCTCCTTCCATTTCCAAGTTCTTACATTGAAAGATGCCAGGGCCTCTGAGACACTCTTCTCAATAAACTCATCAGTAATTCTTCGGGATGGATGCTCATTAAACACGGAGTTCATTAATGCAATCTTTGCAGCACTTCGCCGGGCCTCAGCTTTTGTGGGGCAAAACTAGGCAGGAGAGAAAGAGTGAGACTATATACACATGTGCATCTAAGGGGGGGGGGGAGGAGCAGCAGGGAGGACGCCACTGAGGAGGGAGGAGGAGCAGCAGGGAGGACACCACTGTAGAGGTAGAAGTGGAGCAGGGAGGACACCACTGAGGAAGAGGACATTTGGACACCATGGATGAATCAGTTCCATTCATCAAACTTTCCGAAGCTTTACTGAAAAATGGCATGGTGTTTGGAAACATAATTTTGACTCAACATCCTGAAGTCATTAAAGAATTGGAGATGACTACTCCTACCAAATTGAACGCAGAGCTGGGAAGGCTGCTGAAGTCAGCAGATAGCCATAAGACATGGAAAATGCCTCTATTTAAACTGTCAACTGATTAATTACTCAAAAGCCAGTTTGTCAGGCAAGGGTCTCTGAATTCTAGGTAACGCGAGATTAAAGCGAGGCCGTGACCTGTTGGAAGCACCCATGTGGGGTTCTTCCGCTGTCTCTTAGCTGTGAGTTTCCTATAGCAGATCAGAAGATATACCCTGATGGATCTAAGTCTGAAGATGTCTTTTTCGCCCACAGTAAATGCAAGGAAAATGGGTCACTAAGGGAAGGAGCTTTTTTAAAACAGTAACCTACATGGTCTTAGGGCAAGTCTGATGTTCAGAAGTCAGATCATCCCAGCTTCAGATCCCTAGCCAAATGATGTAATTAGTCTGTAGCAGGTGCTGCAGAAGCCTCTGCACCTTTGTCATTCATGATGAAAGAGGAGCGATGTGGCTTTTTGCTTTTGTGAGACAAGGTCTCTCTCTGTGCAGCCCTGGCTGTCCTGGAACTCACTGTGTGGAACAGGCTGGCCTTGAACACACAGAGATCTCTCTGTCTCCCAAGTGCTGGGATTAATGGTGTGTATCACCACATTGGCTCAATGTTTCAACTTTCAAAGGGACAGTGGGAAATGTTGTCACTTAATTATATTGATAAGTCCTAATTTCCTTGGAGGGCAGTTCCCTCTGAAACAGCATATGGAACTTGATACATCCACATTAAGGTTTTTGGTTTCTTTAGTTTCTCTATTTCTACTTACTACCAGCCTGTTAACCACTTTATCCCATAATATTACTACTGAAAAAGTCTGCATGAAGAAACCACTAAGAAAATTCCACTTGCCAAGGGGGATGTAAAATAAGCTCAAAGAAGCCAAGAACAGAGAATTTGACTTTCAGAAAGTAACAAATCTAAGTAAAACTCTATCCTTCAGATTGTAATGAGATAAGGAGGAGCCATATTATTCTGAGGAAATAAAAGAGGCTGAGATGGCCCAGTGTTAAAGGACTTGCTGCACAGGTATGACAGCCAGAATTCAGATCCCAGGTTCTGGAACCCATATATATGATGCCTGCCTGAGGTTCCAGCCTCTGGAACAGCAGAGCTGGGCTCCCCCAGAGCAAGCTCCATAGCAAGAGCAGCCATGTTGGCAAACTGTAGGTTTGAGATTCCACACTGATGAGTAAGGTGGAAGACTGACTGAGGATGTTTCTCTATGTCAACCTCGGGATTCCACATGCACAACAGACATGTGTACATGCACCCACATATGTGCATACCACATATGAAAATGGAAAACTTGTGTAATCTCTAGTCTTCCTGGGCTTATATTTATTTATCTGAAATAGCTCAAGTGTTGAGCCAAAAGGTTTAGTCATCTGATTTAAAACAAAGCTACCAAGCCAGGCATGGTGGTGCACATCTTTAATCCAGCACTTCAAGGCAGAGGCAGGCAAATCTCCATGGGTTCAGGGCTGGCCTATTCTACAGAGTGAGTCCCAGGACAGCCAGGACTATAAGCCCTGTCTATGAATGAATAGATCCTGTGAATAGATAGATAGATAGATAGATAGATCAAGATTTCCTTAGGGCTTTCTGTTTAAGGCAAAAACTGAGCTACAGTGGCTTTTATTCATGCAACAGATAAATTGCCGTCTATATGCTAGTCTCTGAATGGGTGGAAGGTTTTTAATACTGACCAAGAAGGAAGAGAGTTTGCAAGGCCCTGGTTTCAATCCTATGTGTATACACACATATATACACATACACAGAGGGGAAAAAACAGGTACAGTTGGCAACACTTGCAAAGACAAGCAGTAATGATACATTGTAAGTCATATGATGAGGAAGCCCAAGATGCTGTGGACACAGCAAGGGCCCCAACCATATCTAATGGTGACACAATCACATGAAAACTAACCAAAGATGTCTATTATCTTCTTTTAATTCCTATCCAGACTCTTTAAGATGACATTTGGAAGGCTGACTTCCTCTCTGAAATGGAAAAAAAATGAATTCTAATATTCACACGAATCTATATAATTTCTTTTTAAAGATTTTTACACTCTGTTGTTTTATTTGTTTGTATATAATATGTATATAAATTGGGGCATGAATGCCAGTAAAAGCCAAAGAGAGTGTGGGATGCCTGGAGCTAGAGTCACCAGTGAGCTGCCAGAAATGAGTGCCAGGATCGTAACTTGGTCCTCTGAAAGAGCAGCCAGTTCTCCTAATGGCTGAACCATCTCTTTGGCCCCTACAATTTCTCACTATCCTATAAAAGTTTTCAGATATTGTCTTTCATATCTGTATAGAACCTTAGCAAAAGGAAAACTTTAGAAACAATGTAACCAGGAAGCAGGCTTTAGCTCAGTTGTAGAGTGTTTGCCTAGTGTGCTAGAGGCCCTGGGAGAGGCCTCCAAGCAAGCACTTCATGAGTGGGGCACCAGAACTCCATGTCTGATAATCCCAGCACTGGGGAGATGGAAGCAGGAGGGTCAAAGTTCAGCATGATCATCCTTAGCCACATATTTTGAGGCTGGGCTGGACTACATGAAATCCTGTCTTTAAAGAAAAAAAAGAAGGAAGAGGGGATGGAGAAATGACTCTTCTTGCTCTTCCAGAGGACCTGAGTTCGGTTCTCACACAGAGAACCCATACCACAAGGTTTATAACCACCTGTAAGTCCAGACCCAGGGGCTATCATCTTCAGGCTTTAATGGTACTGAACACTCACTTACATATCCCCCTACAACACAGATACATACATGTATGTGTAATTAAAAATAAAATCAGAGCCGGGCAGTTGTGGAGCATGCCTTGAATCCCAACACTTGGAAAGCAGAAGCAGGCAGATCTCGAGTTCAAGGCCAGCCTGGTCTATACAGCAAGTTCCAGGACAGCCAGGGTTGTCACACAGAGAAACCCTGTCTCAAAAACCACCACCACCACCACCACCATCATCAGAGCTGGAGAGATAACTCATTGGTTGGAAGCACTGGCTGCTCTTACAGAGGACTCAGGTTGGATTCCCAGCACCCACATGGCAGCTTAAAACAATCTGGAACTTTTGTTCCAGGGTATCTGGACACTCCTCAATGTGTCACAGAGACACAGAAGCTAGTAAGACAGCCACACACACTTCAAAAAGAAGAAATGGCAAGAAGCTGGAGTGTGATCGATCATGGAAGCCAGATTAAAGCCAAGGTTGGCGCTGGGAGGTGGAAACAGTAAGAAAGGGCAGGTGCAGTCATAACTGTGTGCTGACTGGGCTCCTCTGTGATCGCAGCAGCTTCGGATGCTTGCTGAAGGGTTGGCCCAGAGTTAGTAATCAGATCCATGACATTAGGCAGAGACTGATGGCCAAAGTCATAGAAGTTCTTATTAGCACTTACAAAACATTTACCCTTACTGCAGCCTCATGACTCTTACCTGGAAACTCCCGAAGCAGCTTCCCCCAGGCAGAGTGACATAGCAGACGTAGGGAGGGCTGTTGGAGGGGACCATCTCGTACACCACCAGAGCCCCGTTCTTCAAGTCAGCGCCCCGAGACTGCTTCATCTGCCAGAATTCCTGAAGGGCCTCCACCACATTCACTGCAAGAGGGCAGACAGAGTAATAAATCAGCATGCCAAAGTTGGGCTTTCTTCCTCCTTCTCTTCTTTCTCCTCCTCCTCCTCCCCCTCCTCCTCCCCAATGTTCTAGTTCCTAGCTTCTTAAACTATAGGGGTGTGACCTCGTATGGGGTGAGGTAAATAAATGGGAGAGTGGGAAACTGGGAACAGAAAAAGGATTCTGGATGTGCTGTAACAAAATTAATTCAAAATCAAATGGGAAATGAGCCTACAGTGTTTCTGACAATGCCGCTGGAGGAGGACCCTGCAGCAGCCTTGGTGCCTTGTGACACCACAAAGATGGCTGAAACACTTCTGCTCAGACTGGAGATGCTTATAGGTCACAAACTGCACTGTCTCTTAACACAAAGTTTCTGCATCTTATGGATACATAATAGTTTCCAAATAGTTCCAAACAGTATATTTTTTGATTGTATTGTGTTAAAATGTTCAATTTAAAAAATTGTTTTGTGGGGCTGAAAAGATGGCTCAGCCATTTAGAACATTAAAATGTTAGATTTATCTTTTATTTCTTTTTATGTTTATAAGTGTTTTGTCCCCATGTATACCCGAGCACCACACATGTGAGGTGCTAGCGGAGGTTAGAAGTGCACATCAGATCACCTGGAATTAAAATTTGGGTGGTTGAGAGCTACCATGTGGGTGCTGGAAACTGGACCCGAGTCTGTTGAGCCATCTCTCTAGCCCTGCGATGTTTGCTTTTTAAAGTTGCTGGTTTAAGTTTGATTAAAATGGATAGATGATGGATGGATGGGAACATAGATAAGTGGAGGTCACCAAGATGACTCTTCTTAAGCCTGGTGTTCTAGTTCCATTCCTGAAATCCACATAAAGACAGCAGAAGAGAACTGACCCCATGGAACTGTTCTCTGACCTCCACGAACACCATAGCACAAACACCCATCAACATGTATCATGCATACATATAAATAAATAAGTAGTACAATTTTAATTGTTACATGAATCTTGGCTTGTGATTCAAAGTTTTCTTTTTCTTTTTCTTTCTTTTTTTTTGTTTTTTTTGTTTGTTTGTTTGTTTGTTTTTTTCCGAGACAGGGTTTCTCTGTGTAGCCCTGGCTGTCCTGGAACTCACTCTGTAGACCAGGCTGGCCTCGAACTCAGAAATCTGCCTGCCTCTGCCTCCCAAGTGCTGGGATTAAAGGCGTGTGCCACCACTGCCTAGCCAAAGTTTTCTTTTTAAAGGCTTATTATTTTCGTACATGAGTGTGTGTGCCTGAGTGCATGTGTGCACCGTGTGTGTGCACCATGTGTGTGCAGGTGCCCATGGATCCAGGAGAGGTACTGAGTCCCTGGACCTGGAGTTGCATATTTCAGCCCAGGACAGAGTTGTTAACAATTTCTGGAACGGCCCTAACTACTTCTGCCACTCTGTACTAAGTACTACTGCAAATCAGCACTCAGCACTGATGATGATGGGTTCACAGTGTCAGCAAACTTTAAAGATGTGGATGATGCTCTATAGCCACAGTGTCCAATACGCAGCCTAGGTTTACTGTGTTAAGAAATAACACAGGTGAGTGAACCAAATGAGGAATAGATATACTAGATGCTGGTGGCGCACGCCTTTAATCCCAGCACTCTGGAGGCAGAGGCAGGCTGGTCTTTGAGGAGGCCAGCCTGATCTACAGAGCAAGTGCCATGACAGCCAGGGCTACACAGAGAAACCTTGTCTTGGAAAAAAACCAACAAACCAATAAATAAATGCAAATAGACAAGTCCATCTGTCTCATTAGTATGCATATTTGTCTTAATCTTTAATAAATGGTAAAACTATATGTATACTAAAGAACTGTTTTGGGGGCTGGAGAAATGGCTCAGTGGTTAAGAGCACTGACTGCTCTTCCAAAGGTCCTGAGTTCAATTCCCAGCAACCACATGGTGGCTCACAACCATCTGTAATGGGATCTGATGTCCTCTTCCGGTGTGTCTGAAGACAGTGACAGTGTATTCATATACATAAAATAATTTTTTAAAAAAGAACTGTTTTATTGTATCTGTGTGTGTGTGGCTTTGTGCGTGTGTCTGGGTGTGAGTGAAGGTGCACACACCACAACCCATCTGTGAACAAAAGACAAACTTGGTTTATTAGTCCTCCATGTCTGCCCTGCTTGTGGTATTGCTTCTTGTTCATCACTACTAAGCCATGCTAGCTGGTCTGCGAGCCTCCTGGGATTTTGATTCCATCATCCATCTTGCCACAGGCACACTGCGGTTACAGATGTACTGCACTGCATCCCACAGGCACACT